TTCTATTAACCAATGTCTTTGCTTCTGACCTTCGATGATCCAGTTCAACCGTACTAATAAGCAAAAATTACTCTAGACGAACATTGTTGAAATTTCAATGTGTGTTGAAATTTCTTCTTCTGCATTCTATTGTACGGACGCAATATTGTAATGCATTACTTTTAAAAGTAACTTTCCCCAACACTGGTCATTTTACACATTTGTAACATTTATCTGCAACATCGAATTCAAAACATGGATGTTTTGATTGTTGTCTATTTGCAAATTTTCACATCAGATCTGTGAGTGTAAACTTACAAATATGGATATAGTTAAGGATCTTCTTTATGCACCAAGAGCTTGTAACACTCCAAAGAGAAAGGAAAAATTGAAATCGCATCATATGACCCCTTTAAAATCAAATTTACAAGCTCTTGAGTTTCACTACTCTCTTCCTTTCATGCGTAGCCACCTAAAATACTTTCTAGAAAACAAATTCCCTAATTCTCAAGCAAAACTCTACTGTATATTGAGACATATGTCCATCAGTCAATAATGTACATTTACAATATAGTATTGATCCATTGATATAGTATTGTTTTTTCCTTTTATTTGACATTTCAGTTATCTTGCAATGGCAACAAGCTCTCACCAGCTTTCAAGTTTAGGGTTGCCAGATGTCAGGAGTTAAATCCTCCAATCAGATACATTTTCCACCAAGTGTTTTATATAAACTTCGCAACCTGGCAACCATGCACATGTGCTCTCTCTGCTCCACCAAAAAAAAGAGCAATCTCCACTGGGATATTCAGCTCTAATGAAAGTGTAATACAGCCAGTGTTCCTTCATTACATTGCTACATGTGCTATTTGCTTTGAGCAAACCTTCTCGGTGACGTACTGTAATAAATTCAAACATGAATCCTGACTATATTGCTTGAGATTGAAATTGCCACTGTGTTAATTTTGTCAGCTATTTTTAATTTAGTCTTAAGCTTAGTCTTGAGTCAAATTAAACTTTTGGTTTTTATCTTATTTTAGTCTTTTTAGTCTAGTTTTAGTCAGTGGAATCTTACCCATTTTCGTCATATTTTTGTCTTACTGTATAATGTAATTAAAATTATACAAATTATATATTGCAATTTTAATTGCAATGATTGTTGTTATTTGGGAAATTTATTTTTGCATTTCATCAGATGTTTCTTTCACCACTAAGCACAAATTAATAGAATATTGACTCATGCATCGTTTATTTGACGTCAACTAGTGTACAGATTTATGTAAAAAAAATTCAGGAAACTAGATGAGTTATAGTAAACCCTGTGTTTACATTCTCTTGATTTGTGTGCAAAATAATCAATTAAATTTCATAAAACGTTTTTATCCATTATCATTCAGTGCTTGGTATTATATTTTAGTAATATGGTGTATAACAGTATATATCAGTTGTTTTAATTCTTTATAGTGTCATTTATTTATCTCAAGCAGAGTTATCTGCTTTTGTGCTCATTACAGTTATCAAAATTACACTGCCAAATGTCTACAACAGGGGTCACCAAACTCGGTCCTGGAAGGCCAGAGTCCTGCTTTTTGAGTTTAGCTCCAGCCCTAATCAAACACAGCTGAACCATGATCAAGGTCTTACTAGGTATAACTGAAACTTCCAGGCAGGTATGTTGAGGAAAGTTGGAACTAAACTCTGCAGGACAGTGACCCTTTAGGACCGAGTTTGGTGACCACTTGTCTACAAGAAGGCAAATTTTCTTTAGAAACAGACAACAAATTGTACAGTACATTACAAATCATAAGCTTCTGTATTAATGTGACGTCTGCTTCACAAGGTAAATAGCTTTTAGGGTCCATCTTCTTTATGCCAAACTCTCGGGCATTGTCACATGTATCTTTCAAAATGAAGGGGGAAAATATAGTGTTGTTAACAACATGCTCACATCAAATTCTGCTGGAATCAATAGAGTCGCCTGTGTGATTTGTGTATGGAGTGCTATTTGTATAACACACTGATGTTCCGCCTGCAGCATTTTGAGTCAGTAATGATATGGTCTCAGAGTAAACAGCAGCTATGTACGCATCAGACAGAGAGGAAGGGTTTGGAAGAGATCCAGTCTGTCATGTTAACTTTTAAAGTGGGCCACCATGTATTTCTGACAGGATTTATGGATATATGATGTTATTAAATGTTATTAATTCATTAAATCTATTGACTGCCCTAATTACTACACACTGCCTATCAAAATAGACATTTCATGTCCATTGGCGTTAATTAATTATCTAATGAGTGTCTTCCCTTTCCATTAAGGGAAAGTATATTATAATCTCATAAATATTTTCTTTAAATCCTTATTTTTCAGTTAGCTTGAAATTGCACTGATGTCCCTTAAATTACAGTTTTTGCAGTGTCTGTTTTTGAAGTGAATGGGTCTTTAGTTCAAAATAAAGTAAAAAAAATAATAATGTCGATCTATAATTGCATTTATTGGCAAATGTCACACCCATGGACTGTCAGTGTGTTTGTTTTCCTGCATGTTCTCCCCGTGGCCCAGTTTCTCCAGTGTCTGATTTTGCCCATATTTGGTTCTTCCTGTTCCTACTCCTAGTGTGTTTTCAGGTGTGTCTCGTTAATTACAGTGCCTTGCAAAAATATTCATACCCCTTCATTTTTTTTCAAACACCAAAGACTTTAGATATACACTCACCCTGTCTACGTTATGAAAACTTCTGTAACAAAAACCTACTCTCAAATATTATAACAGAGAAATTCCTAATAGTAATTCCAATAATTCCAAATTGCATTAATGTTTCTCTTTTAAAACAACGGCAAAAAAGACTTATTGCCGCACAGAGGTTGCGTAAGTAACGTTACAATCAGCAACCACTATCGCAAACAATACAGTTGAGATTCATGACAGAACACAGACTGGCTAAATGACACTTTCATTAAAGCAGAATACCTCAAATGGAGATTGCTGAACTCCAGCTTACTTGTACAGTACTATATGATGGTGTTTTCAGATAATGACGCCTCCGCAGAGAGAGTACGTGTAAATGGTTGCCAGATTGCATAAAGCAAAAAGCTGGGCAGACCTGGCAGAGTACGTATCCATTTAACAGAAAAGCTCTGATTGGGGGATTTGAACTCTTGATATATGGCAACCGCAAACATGAACGCTCGCATAATAGAGTC